TCCTGTAACTATGGCGACATGCAGTCCTCCATACTACGTGATCAGATAGTATTTGGAATACACAATAAAAAGGTGCGGGAACGCCTGCTAAGGGAGGACAGTCTGAAATTAGAAGATGCAATCAGAATGTGCAGAGCTAGCGAACAGACTGAGAAACAGATAAAGATTTTTGAGAAGCCATCCGTTACTACTGAAGCACCAGGGGGTGTAGACAGGGTGGTCAGAGCTAGCGCACCTCGCTCAGAGGGGGAACGTTCTAATAATGCACGTGAAACAGGATCAGACTACGTCATGAACTGTAGGAGCTCCGGTGGGAAACATCGCTTCAGGCAATGCCCCGCATATGGGAAGGTGTGCTCGAAGTGCAGAAAAAAAAATGGGTAACACTTTACTTGAAGGGGTGTACATAAGACTGACATGACACCTTCATAACCATGACATGACATATGTCATGAATATGAAGTAGGGTTTATGCATGTTTATGACAACTGTCATTAAGTGTCTTTCGCTCAATAATGACATTTTGAATGCAAAAATGACATTGTTTAACCCTCTGGTTATCTTTGGGGTCTTTTTAACCCGCAAATGACTTTTGGTCAAATTAAAAAAAATGTTCTCTTTGTCCAAATGGTATGAAACTTTCTACAGCTCTTAACACTTCATAGATCTACAAAAGAAAAAAAAATTGGAATGATATCTGTTATTATGTTGCCGTGAAAAAAATAGTCACACTTGTTGTCTTCGGGGTCCCTGGAGACCCCGCATAGTAAATATATAATATTCATCATCAAAATCAGAAACAACGCAGATCACATGGACAGAAATGAAATGGCACACTTCCAACAATGTAAAAAACATCCACAATGCAAAATTATCATGCTCGCCACACACACACACACACACACACACACACACAACCACACATACACATACACACAGAAATACATTTGTAAGGCTATAAAAAAAGTCTTATAATTTGTCAAATAAAATGCAGAACCACCACAAATATAAATTGGTGACACTGACACAACGAAAATACACACACACACACACACACAGAATGTGTGTCTGCAGAAGTCATGCAACGTACTACGCATACTGCCTGCAGTGCACTGACTCGTGAACACCTCCAGTGCACCACCAATTGTTGTTCTTATTTGTTCAAAAAACAAAAATTTCCCAATCAGTTTTTTTAACAAAATAATTTTTATATTACAACCATTTTATTTTTTTACTGCTTTATTTGATCATTTGTTATTGCTGTTCAGTTCATTGCACTTTTTTTTTTTTTTTCTCAATATGTAATATAACTGTTCATTTCTGTTATTTTTTGTTCTGTTACAGTTTGTAACTGAAACGTTGATTAAAAATGATAGAATTATATTAAAAACAGATAATTGAAATAAATGATAAAATCTAAAGACTCCAAGATTTTTTGTAACATCTTGTTCAGGTTTGATTCTAATCATAAAGTAACATTATTGAAGAACTTTTTTCAATACAAAATATGCTAAACTTAATACAAAATATGCTAAACTTTGACCAAAAGTATATAATTCTTTTTTATAATTTTGATTTTAAAATATTTATATATGAATCCAACTCAATCCAACTGAATCCAACTTGTGAAAAGATGTATTTTGGTTAATCAAACAGCAAATAGCATATAATGGAGCTCTATAGCAATATAGTGGTTAAAGTGAATTTTTTTATTTTAAAACTTCATTTTCCAAAAAAAGGGCAAAAATCTTACATTAAATCATGTACAATTATCCATGTTATGCCCATAAATGAAAGTTAGAAATCTGGGTCCTTTATAAAGTGAATTTTACATAAAATGCTGTTTTTTGTAAAAAAAACTATTTATTTAAATATTTATTTATTTATTTTTAGAAATTTAAAAAATATCAAAAATCCTCCAAAAACTGCACAAATGTTGAGTAAAAACATTAATAAACAGAGTAAAATTACATTTGTAAAAATTTTTTTATTATACTGTTACAAAATGCAATGTTATTGTCTGGGGTCCCTGGAGACCCCAAAGATAACAAGTGTAGACCCTAAATGAAGATAATCAGAGGGTTAAGATGTCTTTGTTATGACACCTTGACATAAACCATAACATCATAACCTGTCAGTGTCTTTGTCATGACAACTTGACATTAAATTAAGTTAAACTGTCATGTGGTTGGTTTTGACATTGGCTGTCATCAGTCCATTATAACTGTGTCATGAATATTTTTCGTGACCTCAACTACAGTGGTACAAATTGAATTTGCCATTAAACAGTTATAATGGCTTCATGACAGGCAATGTCGAAACCAACCACCTGACAGTTTAATGTAATGTTAACCAATAAAGCTAAGTGGTTTCTTAAGTTTGATAATTAATCTGCTATGTCATGTTTATGACAGGTTGTGTTGTCTTAGTAATGTCAAGTTGTCATGACAAAGACACTGACAGGTTATGATGTATTGGTTTATGTCAAGGTGTCATAACAACGACATCTCAAACAATGTCATATTTGCATTAAAAATGTCATAATTGAGCGAATGACACTTAATGACAGTTGTCACAAACATGCATACAACTTCCTTCATATTCATAACATGTGTCATGTCATGATTATGAAGGTGTCATGTTAGTCTTATGCACACCCCTTCAAGTAAAGTGTTACCAAAAAATCATTTTGCAAAAGTGTGCCTTTCTGCCAGAGAAAAGAAACAAATTTATATGATGGAAGAGAGCGAGCAAGGCTTTGATGAGGATGACATATTCTATACAGACACAGTCAATGTGGAAAATAAGGGCACTTCAACACTGGAAGTTAGTGTGAACACAATAAATGTAGACAGGTGGATTGTGCCACTTAAAGTAAATGGCACAGAGATTCACATGAAACTTGACACAGGAGCTATGGCAAATCTTATCACATTAAAAGACTTCAAAGCTCTGCGCCACAAGCCAGTTATAGAAAACAAAAAAGTGGGATTGAGAGCTTACAATGGACAAATGATGAAACACAGGGCGTCTGCAGATTACAAGTCCAGAACAAGCACATTAAGAGACATCTACCAGTTGTGATAGTGCCAAAAGGGAAGGACTCCCTACTGGGAGATCAAGCTTGTGAGGAAATGGGACTTGTTAAACGTGTTCTAAACATTGCCAAGACAGAGAGAAAAGTAGGCCTACAGTCACCGCAGCTGAAAAATGCAGGAGTCACCACATCACAAGCAGACAACTGGGAAGTGCAGTATCCCAATATTTTTGATGGCATAGGGGTGCTGCCGTTCACATACAGCATTAAACTGAAGGATAATGCTAGACCTGTGGTGCATGCTCCACGTCGAATTCCTGTTCCACTGAGAAGATCTTCGCAAAGAACTGGACAGAATGGTGGCATTAAATGTCGTTCAACCCACTAAGGGAGCCACGGAGTGGGTCAACTCAATGGTCTGCGTAAGGAAGCCAAATGGAGCTCTCAGGATATGCATGGACCCAAAAGACCTCAATGAAAACATCCTCAGAGAACAATATCAAATTCCCAAGAGAGAAGAGATCCTGAGTGAGATGGCTGGGGCACAGTGGGTCACATGGATTTTGGCAGTTGCAAATTGACAGTGCAAGCGCAGACCTATGCACCTTCAACACGCCCTTTGGGCGCTTCAGTTATCAGAGACTCCCCTTTGGAATTTCCTCAGCACCAGAAATTTTTCACTGTGCAATGGAGAATGTGTTTGAAGGACTGGAGGGTTTATATTGATGATGTCATAATATGGGTGGAGACCCAAGAACAGCTCAACAGCAGAGTGCATAGTGCACTTCAGAGAGTCCACAAGTACGGGCTCAGATTGAACAAGGAGAAATGCCAGTTTAGCACCCAAGAAGTCACGTTTCTTGGGGATCGACTGACACCGGCAGGAGTACAGCCGGACATGAACAAAATCAAAGCAGTGACTGACATGCCCCAGCCAACAGACAAGAAGGCGGTACAAAGAGCATTAGGGATGGTGAACTACATGGGAAGATTTGTGTGGAAAGAAATCAAGGACATTTTAAGCACAGAGCCAGTGTTGTTTTTTTTTGATCCGAGTAAGAAGACACGAATCTCCACAGATGCCTCAAAAGAGGGACTGGGGGCCGTCTTGCTGCAGTATCATGATGGGGCTTGGAAACCAGTGGCTTATGCTGCACGATCCATGACAGAAACAGAACAAAGATACGCGCAGATAGAAAAAGAGTGTCTGGGGCTCGTCTTTGGCTGTGACAAGTTCCACTCTTATGTCTTTGGCTTGCCACACATTGAACTTGAGACTGACCACAAGCCACTCATAACTATCAGCAAAAAGCACTTGAATGAGATGACACCACGCATTCAGCGTATGATGATGCGTCTACAGAAGTATACCTATGAACTGTCATACAAGCCGGGGAAATACCTGGTAGTGGCTGATGCTTTGTCAAGGGCCAGACCAGCACAAGGACTGAACACAGACGGCATAGAGGAATATGAAGCCATAAGAGGCCACGTGGATGCTGTGGTGGAGGCTCTACCTGTGAGCTCTACCCTGAAAGAGAAAATAGTAATGGAGACGGTAGTGGACCGCCAGCTCCAGAAAGTGATATGGCACATGCGAAATGAGTGGCCAAAGCAAGCGTGCTCGCAGTACTACTCATTCCAGGATGTGTTGGCGGTAGCTGATGGCCTGTTGCTGAAAGGTGACCAAATAGTCATCCCAACAAAGCTGCGGAAGGAGGTCCTCCGAATACTACATAGAGGACACTTGGGCATAGAGAAAACAAGGAGACTAGCCAGACAGACTGTTTACTGGCCAGGCATGAATCGTGACATAGCAGAGATGATCAATGACTGTGCCACTTGCCTTACTTACCATAACAGACAGCAAAGAGAACCGCTGCTCACAGACATGAGGGCAGAGCACCCCTGGGAATAAATTGGGACGGACCTGTTCCACTTCAGAGGCAAAGAGTATTTACTGATGATCGACTACTACTCCAACTATCCTGAGATGGCTTTGCTCACGAGCACAACAGCAACAGGAATAGTTAAGCATATGAAGTGCAGCTTTGCACGACATGGCATTCCAGGGACTGTCGTCTCGGACAATGGGCCTCAGTATGCCAGTCAGGAGTTCAAGCAGTTTGCCAGAGAGTATGGATTTGAACACATCACAGTAAGCCCACACTTTCCACAGGCAAATGGCAAGGCTGAAAAGGGTGTTCAAATAGTGAAAAGTCTTCTGACAAAGGCAAAAAAGAATGGTGAGGATCCTTATTTGGCTCTGCTGGCTTATAGAGCAGCACCTCTGGTGAGTGGGAAGTCTCCGGCTGAACTGCTCATGGGCAGACGACTACAGACACAGATCCCAACAGTGAAGAAACAAGTCCACACACCTGTGCTGGAGGCCATGAAAAAATTAAAGGAAAAACAAAAGAGATACTTTGATCGCACAGCAAAAGCAATGCAACCTCTGCAGGCGGGTGACAGAGTCAGAGGTTTCAACACAGAAAGACAGGACTGGCAGCGCGCTGGAACAGTGCTGAATGAAGTGGCTCCGAGGTCCTATGCGGTCCAGACGGACACCGGGGCTCTGGTCAGACGAAACAGGTTGCAGCTACTTAAAACACAGGCCAGCAATGCAGCTCCTTTAGTAGAGGAGTACAGGGACAAATGTGCACAGCATGGAACAGCAACAAACAATCAGCCAGGGGTTTTAAAGGAGAATGCACCTGTCAGGTGTACACAGTTGAGGTATAACAAGTTTATAAAAAAAAAAAAAAAAAAAAAAAAAAGTTAAATGTGTTGAGCCTTAGTATCTGGTCATGAGTTCACCAGGTAATGTATAGCCTTATGGTTGAGCCATGTTCCATGCTCAGGTTAGGCTAAAGTAATCGTGACACAGTCTGTCTTGAATGAGGCGGTGGTAAAGACCGTCCTCCTACGGTGTGCTAAGTACTGGCAACCTCTGGCACCAAATTATTTAGTTATTTTTATGCTTAAAGAATGCACAGTGAATCTGTTTTTGTTTACTGAATAAGGGAGATGTAAGGATATTCTGTGAGACACTTTTAGGGTCCTAAGAGGCCACCGTAGCAGGGAACTGCAACGTCACGAAATGCGTAATAAAGGCAGTTGAATACTTACCAGCTAATGTGTCAGTCGCATATCTTTACAGGTGGGAAAAACCCTTTTAACTAGCTCTTAAATGTTATTTTTTTTACTTTATTACTCAGTGTGGAAAATCAAAATAGGGCTTCAGCTCTATCGTTCTGCTGTTCGCGATTTCTGTATTATTCTCCGAGAATCAGTAGCCTGACTTCGTCATACTCATATTCTAGTCAGAATGTGAGTCTGATACTGCTCCATAGGGCTTTGATTATGAGGCGTGTCTTAACCGAACCAGGAAAAAACAACAACTCTGCACTCAATTGGATAGACCTACAACCAATCAGAGCAACGCAGTAAGTGGTTTTTTATGAGCTACACAAATTGTCAACAGAACTCAACTACACACACGCTGGAAGAAGTAGTAAAATAATGAGTGTTGCTTCTTTTACTTGGTCCTCCATGAGCAACATGACATCATGACTTTGCGTAAACATACACGCCACTTTCAATTCAAGTGGCGTGTTATCTATACGCATTTTGAGCTATCCGCGTGTATGTCCACGCCGAAATCTTTTGCGTGTATGTCTACGCCATTAAACGTCCGAGTGATTCCGCGTGTATGTGTACGCCGTTAAATGTCCGAGCGAAACGAAGCAAAATCTATATTCTACATCTGTGGAGCGAAATTTCTTTTCCTAGGATGGTAGGAGAAGACTCATAAATGGTATTAACCCCAGTGACGGGTAGGTTTAGGGACGGGGTTGGGGTAGGTCATATATTTATATGTACATAATACAGTAATATAACGTTAAGTCAAAGGCGTTGATAAACACGCTGAAAAGCGATTATGCGTGTTGATAGCACGCCAAAAATGGAAATACGAATTGGCGTGTCATACATACGCCATTTCATGAGATCAGTCTGCCATGACTGTGACCAAAGGAGAAACCACAACGACCACAGGGTTTTCATTGCGTCCCATCTTCTAGCGACCATCGAAGCCAGCTGATAAAATAAACTTTTGCCGAATCCCGTTGGAAGGACGGCAAACACATCTTTCCGATCGACAAATGCCTTGATTGCAGTTCTCTGTTCGTCTTTTAAAATGAATGCGCTGTCGATTTCTTTTACAACAGACGCGATAGCGGAATCTATACATCTCAGTTCTCCAGCTGCCGTCCTCTCTGAGGGAAACCAGTTCAACCCAAGCGCTCTTTGATAACATGATGATTACGTAACTGCAGATCATCTGTCCATCATCGTATAAAGCCCGCCCTGGCAATTTGATTGGCCCGACTCATTCTGAACCGATCATAATTACTCCTCAATGGATCGAGTCCAGACCGAACTTCCCGACCAAAAAATTTTGTGGGCGGGGTTCGGGCTGGCATCCAGGCTAGAGAATCAGTGTAGCAGTTTCCTCTCTATGCAGTGCCACCACTGCCACCTACTGGACAAATACGGTGTGCAGGGAAAACATAACTAAAAGTAATCAAGAAATCAGATATTAAACTAGAATAATGTAATCCTGCTAGTAGGCTATTTTCAAGTGGGTTACATATAAATACATTTATATTTTTTTATTCAGATAAAAAAAAGACCTGTCGGGAGTAGGGCCCCAACATCATTCAAAATGTTTAACAAACGCTCTTCTTGTTCGGGCTTCAGTTTGCAAATGCCAGGAATATTCTACACAACAGAGCGAATTGCATCCCGTGATTTCCCTAACCTAAAATACAATAGGCTTGTTTGAGATGCGCCTTGCCTCCCCTGAAATGTAGTCGAGAGTAGGCGGCTGCAGTGAGAGGAGGAGTGAAAAAAGCGCAGGCAAGCCAGACAGATCTCTCTTCTCGCAGTGGATCAGACACCCATAGATATCCATAATAATGGCTTGATGTCTTACGGCGGAGTCTCTAGCGTCATCACCGTCGGCCATCTTGTCACAGGCAAGTTTTCTGGCGGGCTCTGTGGTACCTGATGTAAGATGAGTGATCAGCACGAACACAAATACTCTCATCTCGTTGAAATCTTGACGGATTTACTAACGGTTTGGTTTCTTACAAACGTTATTAACGTGGCTATAATTCTGGATGATTATTTATTTATACACTTATTGTTCATAAGTATGCAGTGTCATAACTACATCTCTGACGTTTATAACAAACCAAACGGAAATCGGTAGAAAATTGAGCAAGTTATGGTTATTTAAAAAGTACATGCACCATTATTTTTTTTGTTTATTTATCAGGGACAATACACTAAGCATTGTTACACTAGACAACCGATGCTGTGTACATAGGGCATATAGCGTAAAACTAGTGTAAAACTTTAACGGCCCACGTTTTTAGTCCCATTAAAACACAATGTTACGAGTGAGCGAGCTGCCTGTGACAAGATGGCCGCCAGGTGCGGACGTCGACCTCCATTGGCCAGCAGCGCGGACGAGACATCTAGCCTTTATTATGGATATCTATGTAGACACCTGTGAGATCAAAGACTAATATCGCGGGATTCGCGGGATTCACGCCCGTGCACGGTGTTACTAAACTGGATGTAATTTAAGTTTTGTTGCTTTTATTTGTTTGCCCCAGTGGCCTGTCCATCATATACTGATACTGAGAGGAGGAGTGAAAAAAGTGCAGGCAAGCCGGACAGATCTCTCCTCTCGCAGAGGATCAGACACCTGTGAGATCAAAGACTGATATCGCGGGATTCATGCTCGTGCACGGTGTTGCTAATAAACTGGATGTAATTTAAGTTATGTTGCTTTTATATGAAAATAAATAAAATGAACAAGACACCCAAAGTAGGCTACTTGATATTTAATAACATTCCAAATACATGTTTATCAATAATTTTTTCTTTAATACAGACATGTGTTTAACTTTTTATATAGGCTACATTGTTTTAATAAAAATGACATCACATAACCCATATTGCACTGTCAGAGAGTTTATTCACACATAACATATGCATACACATAAAACATAATAAAACATTTTAAAAGAGAACAATACATCACGGTTGTTTAAACCAATGAGCATTAAGCTGTGTCGTCAACAAGTCGTTTCCCATCATGCTTTTGATCAGCGCAGTCGGTGGAGAGCAACTGCGCTCAACTGCAGAATCCGACTCGTGTGCCTTGCGGTCGCGAGAGTTTTTTGACATACGTCGGCATGACATCAGAGCAAGGCGGACCGCACTCGGACACATTTCTAACCGGCATGCATCTCGCGCTGATCACCGGTGATCGGTTCTGCGCAGATTTTGCTCACCTCAAACAAGCCTATTCTCTCAGTTTTCCTCTGGCCTGAAAACAGCCGGCCAATCAACGAACAGAGGGCGGGCTGAGAGCCGTGACGTAGACGCTAAGCGCCGAGTTTAAGATGAGCACTACCTGGTGGACTTGTTCTGAACCCGCCACTTGTTTTGTGTTTGCAAATTAGGCAGGGGCATTGTCAAAAAATAACATTTGTTAGCTCTTTAGATAACAACTTTTCATTTGTGAAAAGCAAGGTAGCTATTCTGCATATTTCTAAAGCATTAAAGCTGAAATTGGTGATTCATTGATAATTTCTTTATGTACTCACCATGTGCATGAGTAAACTCTGGATTACCAATAAGCGGTTGGAATTATCTATTTGTATAAGTTTTGGGACTGACAAAGTTCCTTGCTCTCTGGAAAACCATCTGGTATATCAACGCAAATGGTAAAGATCAACAGGTAAAATAGGTGGAGTAACAGGTGGTATGATTCATGATTGACAGGAGAACAGTAACACCAGACTTCACCTGCTGGTCAAAGCAGGAACAGCTAGACCTAAAAACCATCTAAAGATAGATGATAGTAGATGTGATGGCTATAATCACATGTTTTCCAGCAAACACACAATAACTGTTAAAATAATTCCTTATTTTCACTTTATCATAAGCATTTACTTTTAAAGTGTATTCAAAGACACTTTAGATATTTTAGTATTTTAAGAAAACAAATACTTGCTATACAAAAAAAAAAAAAAATGCTACTATAACAAGCCTAATGTAGATATACTGAATAAACCAGCAAGAATAAGGAAAATACTGAGAAAGAAAATCACTTTTTGTAGTGCAGAGAATAAGTACGTATCATCACATGTCTGTCTGTTATTTGTTTGTCTTAATTCTCTCAGAATCTACAACTTCCAGCTCTGATCCATGCTATGATTATAACACTCTTGATGAATCCTGGAGAGACATACGGCAAAAGCGATATCAGTACTCTGGATATGATGACACCCTTGTTGAATGGAGTGGCTGGTATCGGCTGTATCTGAATGGAGAAAGTGCCCAGATGTCTGAGTGGTGTGTGAGTGATGTGAAATGTGGTGGTGAAACTGGACTGTATCTCAACGGTTCTCATCCAACACTTGAGGATGGAGTGATGACCCGTGAAGTCCTGGGAACTTATTGGAACAGTGATTGTGGCAGCTACAGATCTAATTCCATCCGAGTCAAAGCCTGTCCAGGAGATTATTACATCTATGAATTTGTCAAACCCATCATATCATCCCTCTGGCCCATGTACTGTGCAGGTACAATTTTAAAAACTAAATTAACTGCTTGTCTTCTATAAGGTAACAGGGATGCTGGAGCCTATCCCAGTGTCTCTGCAGTCAGAGCCAAAACTAAATTGTCAGCATTTTAACATTATTTTACAAAGATATCTTTTGTCCATGACAGTTGCTTTCCAAAGAATCAGCAGTGATCCCTGCTACAACTATGAATCTCTGGATCGTCCCTGGAGAGCCAATAATGAAAGCGGAGATAACATTTGTGATGAACATTTCACCTGGAATGGCTGGTACCGGCTTTTCTACTATGGAATGGACATCCGGATGTCAGAGACCTGTGTTAGTTCATTCACATGTAACACAGAAGTCAATCTGTGGCTCAATGATCCTCACCCTCATATAGAGGATGGAGTGGTGATCAGGGAGGTCTGTGGTAGTTATCATTTGGGAGGCTGCTGTGATTATAAGACAAAACCCGTCAGAGTGAAAGCGTGCCCAGGCAATTACTATGTCTATGAACTTGTGAATCCCCAATTTGGGTGTTCGGGATACTGCACAGGTACTATGATTTTCCCAGAGACCTTACAACCTTTCAAAATGATTTCATTCATGTATTTGAATTTCCTTCTTTATAGATGTCAGCACTATTTCACAGGCGTTTTCCACTACGAGTCAAGATATAATCTCTGGATCCAAAATCACATTGAGTAAGTTGTATATAGTAAATATAATTTCATATATTATATTTGACTGGCCAGACACTATTGGATGAGCACGTCTCAGTTACTAACGTAACCTTGGTTTCCTGAGGGAACGAGAATTGCGCAAGTAAGCTTACGCTATGGGAAAACTCCTTTTCTCGAGAATATTGAATCAATTTTTTTCAGACATACAGCTGAGCGTCTTTGCTCGCTCATTGGCTGTGCTGCGGCAACTGTACGAACATATGGCGAGTCGGCTAGGATGCGCGAACCAATCAGGGCCCTTTGTGCCTGTACGCGTCAGAGCCCGCCAGAATGGGTGTGGCTTATAGCAATATAAGCCCCCATTTCGCCACAGAATTCAGGTTAAATCAACTGAAGCGATCCCCTGATAAAAGCACAGTAGCACAACAAGTTACACAATACTCGTATAGGAAGGGACCATCCTTATGGTGGTGGGGAGGATGGAAGTGAATGGAAGCGTCAGCATCTGTGAACTCAGACATGTGTAAGTTCCGATCTTTTATACCACGAGAATTAGAACACCTTGGATAGATGAGATGGTAATAAGTGATGTAACAATTGAGTCTTCCTGGCAGAACTTATGCTAAAGCTTCCATTTACCTGCGCTCTGAATGGAGTCGAGAGCACTTTAGGAACATACCCGTGCCTTGGCTTAAGGACGACTCTGGAGTCGTTGGGCCCAAATTCAAGGCAGGAATCCAAGGCTCTCCCTGATCCGTTCGATGACCTGTGGTAACATCGTGACCGGCGGGAATGCGTACAGTGGGCGGCGTGGCCAGTTCTGGGTCAGCGCATCCCTGTCTTTGGAGAAAAATGTTTGGGAACGAGCGTTGTCTTCTGAGGCGAAGAGGTTGACCTCTGCCTCAGCGTTTATGCTCCATATCATCTGAACCATTTGCGGGTGAAGAGACCATTCCCCTGGGAGGAAATTGTCTCTGGATAGCATATCCGCACCCTGGTTCAGAATGCCTGGCACATGCGCCGCTCTTAGAGAGCGCAGGTTGAGCTGAGCCAATATCAAGAGGTGTTTGGCAATGGTGTGCAGGTTGCTCTACCTGAGACTGCCTTGGCGATTTATATAGGGATCCACTGACATGTTGTCCGGCCGGAGCAAGATGTGGTGACCTTTTATGTATGGGAGGAAAGCTTTTAGTGATAGAGCGACTGCTCTCATCTCTAGACAGTTTATGTGTAGGCACCTCTCCGGGCTCGACCAAAGGCCGGAGATGGGCCTGCCCTCGTATAGGGCTCCCCAACATCTGTTGGAAGCATCTGTCGCGATCACTTTCCTCCTCTAAATCATGCCGATACTCACGTCGGATTGATACCAGTCGGCTGCTTTCCAAGGAGTCAGGGCTCTGACACAGCCGTGGTTCACTTTGACGTGTAAGTGGGCAGATCGCCACGCGTGAGCTGGTACACAAGGTTTTAACCAGCACTGGAGGGGACGCATATAATACAGTAGACCCAACTGCAGTTCTGATGATGCTGAGGCCATGAGGCCTAACATCATCTGAAATCTCTTGAGAGTAGCGCAATTGCCTGCTCTGAATGATGCCGCTAGACACTAAATGGCGAGCTCGCGCTCTGACTTCAGCTGCGCTCTTATCTGTATAGAATTTATGACTGCTTCTAGAAAAGGTATACTCTGGCTGGGAGACAGTGCACTTTTTGAAGCATTGATCCTGAGACCTAGGCATTCTAGATGGCTAAGGAGCCAGGATCTGTGAGTTATTAACTGCGCCTCCGATTGGGCTATAGCCAGCCAATCATCAAGGTAGTTCAACACTCGCACTCCCCGTTGTCTCAGGGGGGTGAGGGCTGCGTCCATGCACTTCGTAAACGTATGGGGTGCTGGAGATAGACCGAATGGTAGGACTGTGTACTGATAAGCCTGCCCCTCGAATGTGAATCTCAAGAATGGCCTGTGATGGGGTGCTATCTGAATGTGAAAGTAAGCATCTTTCAGATCCACTGAGAAAAACCAATCCCCCGGGGCGAATCTGCGCAAGGATTTGTTTGGTTGTCAGCATTCTGAACGGATGCGTCATAAGCAGTTTGTTCAGGTGTATGAGATCTAAGATGGGCCTGAGGCCACCATCTCTCTTTGGAATGAGGAAATACCGACTGTAAAAGCCCCACTTGCTTAGTGATAAGGGGACTGGCTCTACAGCCCCTTTCACTAACAGTTTTAACACTTCGGTGCGAAGGACGTGAGCTGCGTTGCTTTTTCACCGATGTCTCGACCACAGCTAGAAAGCGCGGGGGTCTGCGAGCAAACTGTAGCGAGTAGCCTCATTTTATTATGTTCAACACCCATTTTGATATTCCGGGGATGGTTTCCCAGACCTTGGCCCGAATAGCTAGGGGTTGAATGAAGTCTGGGGACGGGCCGCTTTGTGATAGGGACCCGGCCGCCCAGCTGTTTTGTGAGACTGTGTGAACAGTGCTTACGTAACTCATAATTGGCACACAACCTACATTCATTACATTTCCAGAGTGAGCTGGGGGGGAAACTGACACTGTGGGGACAGTGCTTATGTGCAGGGGTGCGTACTTTGTAGTGGGCACACAGCCTACATTTATTACAGACAGAAAATATCTCTTTTTGTGCTTTATTTTGGTCGCCGTAAAAACGTCTTTTGTTCGCAGGTGTGCCTGTTTTAAAACAGACTCGTTTACTGCAATATTGACGTTCCCAGCCGCCTGAACTAAAGAGGGGACTGGGAGATGTGTGAAAAGCTTTTTGGAGGTTGGCCCGGCCTTGGCGGGACTCAAACACTCTCTTTTCCTTCCTGTCACCGATGCTAGGAAGGCTTCCAAGGCTCAGGGTCCAACAAAATCTTGGGTTGGGGTCCCCATCGCTCTAGGAACTGCTGTCGCTTCGTTGAGCAAGAGTGGTGGCGGACTTCAGCCGCTGTGCGGGGCTGGGAGACCAGCGGCGCTGGCTTCGCTAGCTGAGGAAGCGGCACCCTCTTGTGGTGGCCCGAAGCAGAGCTGGATCGTTTAGGGAGGAAGTGACAAATAGCCTGCGACGCTTTCTGAGCCTTGGTATGACGTTTTCGCGAAACCTTTGACTGCTGGGCCGAACAGACCGGTGGTGGAGATAGGGGATTCCTGAAAAGCTGCCCTATCTGCATCTTTCATCTCTGTTAAGTTCAACCAAAGATGACGTTCAGGCACCGTCAAGTTCGCCTTGCATCTACCAATCGCCTGGGCAGTTGATTTGTTGGCTCGCAGAGCCAGGTCTGTCGAGGGGAAGAATCACTTCGTACCCTTTTCCACAGCGACGTCAACGGTTCTAGAGTGTTGAGAAGGAAGGCTTTAGACGAGCAGAATGCGGCACTTTCCACTTCTTCGTTAGCTCGTCGTGCACGGAAAGAAGGGGGGCGGGTCTCTGCTGAGGGGCCTGTTGGCGCCCCTGCAGGAACCATTCGTCCAGCTTGCTGCACGTGGGCTCCTTGGGCGAAGACCACTCAAGCCCAAGGTCTTCAACAGCCTTAGTTAGCACGCAGAGAAGCTCTGCGTCAAAGCTGGTTCTCACGTCGTTCGCGCTGGCTTGTGTTGAGGGTGTGGGGCGAACACACTATTTGCTTGTAAAGGCTATAGCGCGCCGGATGGCACAGGAGAACGGCAGGCTGAAGGCGGCGTCCAGTTGAAAACCAGGAAGCCGGCGTCCTCAGAAATGGAAGCTTTAGCATAAGTTCTGCCGGGAAGACTCAATTGCTACGTCACTTATTACCATCTCATCTATCCAATCGTGTTCTAATACTTGTGGTATAAAAGATCAGTACTTACACATGTCTGAGTTCGCAGATGCTCTCGGCTGCGCCCCTGCCTTCGTCTTCAGGTAGGAATTTATTCTCCTGAGTCTTTCTGGTAGAACTGCTCAGCAGGTGTTTGTTCCTCTGAAGGTTTTTCGATGGCGGCGAGGCTTCTCATCCGGAGATCAGCGAAGTGAAACTTGCTGAAGGAGACTAAATCTGAATTCTATAGCGAAATGAGGGCTTATATTGCTATAAGCCACACCCATTCGCACGGGCGCGAAGCATCCTGATTGGTTCGCGCATCCTAGCCGACTCGCCATAGGTTCGTGGAGTTACTGCAGCACAGCCAATGAGCGAGCTAAGGCGCTCAGCTGTCTGTCTGCTGTGCAGCTGCACTGCGTTTTTAACCAATTTGCTGCAATATTCTCGAGAAAAGGAGTTTTCATAAGCTATCTTACACAATACGAGAGACCTCTCGAAAGGGAACTGACTGAGCTGGACAATGACATCGCTGTTTTCTGCAGAACTTCTTTAGATTAAAGGAACACATTTGATAATTTATGATCTTTGCAACGGATCTGAATCGACACTGAACTGACTGCATTACAGCTGAAATGAATATTTTTGCATTCTTGAATAATTTTCCTGCTTTGAAACAATCTGTATTACATAAAGCACAATCTAAATAAAGGTGACTTGACTTAATATATATGAATACAATATTAAAAATATCCATAATTTTCTTTTTTTTTGCAATGACTCTGCTCTACAGTTTAAAATGGCACCTTTTACGCATGAACTTGTACCATGTATCATACTGCACAGTCATGTCATGTAAAGTACAAATGGCTAAAATACATTTTGATTATTACTAAATCAAATTTGGCCTCACAAATTTCCTTGTTTTGATCTCTCTCATGAACACAGATTATGACCCATGCAATAACTACAGCATACTTGACAACTACTGGAGAGGCACAATCATTTACTGGTATACAAATGAATCTGTAAATAGACATGATGACACTCGTGTAGAATGGGACGGCTGGTATCGACTCTTCATTAATGGATCAAGTGCTCAGATGCCTGAGTGGTGTATGTCTTACATGTCATGTGGAGGTTATAGTGCTCTGTATCTTGATGGCTCTCATCCTCAGCTAGAAGATGAAGTTGTTACTCGTGAAATTTATGGCTCCCGTAATGATCAGTGCAGTCGCTACAGATCCGACCCAATCCAAGTCAAAGCTTGTCCTGGAAATTATTATGTCTACAAATTTACCAGGCCGACTCTTTCAATCCCAGCTCCTGTATATTGTGCAGGTACATTCATCCTTTTCTTTTACATGTTTATCATGAATTGTGTTGTAGATTTTCACATGATTACCTGGTGCAGACCTGTTAAAGTTTATCATCTACTTGGATGCATTTAATCTTCAATATACAATGCTCTCTTTCTAATTTTTCATAGTACCTTTCACCACCCCAAGTGTCGACCCCTGCTACAAATATACCAGTCTGGATCAGCCTTGGAGATCCACTGACCATCATAACTTAGGCATGTGTGATTATAATGTGGACTGGAATGGCTGGTACAGGATGTTCAACAATGGTCAAAATACTCAGATGCCAGAATCATGTGTAAATCAGTACATGTGTGGCACTTATTCCCCACTGTGGCTCAATGGCCCTCACCCACAGCTGGAAGATGGAGTGGTCACCCGTCAGGTCTGTGTCTCCTCATGGGATGGCTGCTGTACTTACAATTCCCACCCTATAAGAGTCAAAGCCTGTCCAGGAAATTACTATGTTTATGAGTTTGTCAAGCCAATATTTTGCGGAGCTTACTGTGCAGGTAGGAGAGGATTTACTCATGCATTTAAGTCTTTTGTTTGGAAAATTGATGTTGATATAAAATGGTCCTAATACCAGAATCCTCAAGCCGGTCCATCCCATCAGCCTCTACAACAACAGAGACAATCTCACCTACAGAATCCATTACTCCACCAATCACAACCACTGGTAAAGTATTTTTTTTTTTTACTTCTTTATAAACCCTCCTTTTATTGACCCATTACACAAGGGTGTAGAAAAAGTCGTAACAAAACTTTCTTAATAACATGTATGTGATAAAAGGTAGTACTTTCGTTGCCGTATTAGCTCAAAGAAAGCACAACATTTACTTAAAGTGCCCCTATTATGCTATTTTTAAAGATTACTGTTTTGGAGTCTCCTTCACCGCAGGTTTACATGTGTCCAAAGTAAAAAAAAACAAAAAAAACTAAACAAACTTTCTCATAGTATACATCGCACATCACCTCATTTCTCAAAGAGTCTGAAAATGGTTTGTTTGAAGATTCTGTCTCCCTAAAACCCTCTTTTCTGCGAATCTGCTCTGGTTGGTTAGACGTAATTATGATTCAGGCAGCATTACAGGTAAGAAGTGAGATTGGGATTGGGAGCATTCAAAATATTTAATCCGTTTACATCTGGTTGAAGATCGGATTCATCACGCCAGTATGGAGATGGGTTTTGTTGAGGATTTGTGCCACTGGCTGTGGTGTCGATGAGGCCTTCACAGTGGATAGTCTAGTTGGCACAATCTGAAGGCTGAGTTGTGGTCATGCCAAAGCGCAGGTCCTCCAACTGATCTGGATCTGGCCCGGATCCCGCTGACTACGGTAACCTCGGGATAAACAGGGAGAATGATATTAGTGGAGATGCCATTCTTCTTACGATGTAACAAGTACTGTACATCGGGTGTTATAGGAAGTGTTCCCGATTCCGGCTGACCTAGTTTATGCAGCCTAACAATCATTTAACTGATTTAAAGTCCCTGTAAAGTCAAAATTAAGTATGTGTTTTGAGTTTGTCACACCACAGAAAAATTTGTTATTAGTCACCCAGCCAAATTTGAATGATAAAAAAAGTCAGCAAGTACATAAAATAAGCTATCAAAATCTTGAAAAAATGAGCAGTAATCTCTGCTCTCAAACGCTGGGGGCGTGTCCGCTGGCTGCGCTGAAACCACGCCCACTCGCGGGAAAGCTGCCGTCGACTCGCCACACTCAACTCTACAGCCGGAATGGATGCTCGCACGGTGGGCACGCACTGCCGATGATGGCACCAGTTGTCGGCGCGACGGGAGGATGAAGGCTGAGGCGGGAGTCGGTTCGGCCCCATTCACCAGTAACAGCGGATTATCAGTGAATCCCAGACAGTTATCTCCGACGAAAGTTTATAAAACTATCCCGTGTAAAATGATCACTTACAGAGGCGGGTTTTGGCGGTGATCCTCAGCTCTCCATCAAGGTTGGCTCTTCACAAAATTAATCCACTTCTTCTTGATGTAATCGTTTTTCGGAAATTTAAACAAGGACACCGATCTGTTTTGTACGTGATCCGGTGATCGCATCCAGGTAGTAGGCTACGCATTTCCGTGACGAAGGCATAGCTAGTAGCTAGCAATCTGTAGGCTGTGTTACTAATGGCGCTTTTCCATTACCAGTACCAGCTCGACTCGACTCGACTCGGCTCGCTTTTCGCTCCGTTTTCCATTGCAGAAAGTACCGCCACAAACAGTACCCGGTCGTCATAGCGACGCATTTCGTTCCTCGTTGCCCCATCAAGCTCTCGCTGTATCCTCTCTTCGGCAACCAAACAAAGGAATGTCTGCACCTCCTCGTTTGACCACGGCGTATTCTTCCGAGTTGCCATAATAATAGTAGTAAGTTTAGTAACTATCTCTGGCCAAACTATTTAAAATACTCCATCTGGCGCGTGCAATGATGACGCAGATTCTCTGTGACCAATCAGCAGTCGGCATTGTTTTCACGTCACATTTTAGTATCGGCTTAGCTCGCCTCAGCTCGCTTGGAACCTCGCCGGAGGTGGTACGAAAAAAAGTACCCGAAAGCAGGTACAGGTACAACTTTTACACAGTGGAAAACCAAACAAAGGCGAGTCGAGCCGAGCCGAGCCGAGGCGAGCTGGTACTGTGTAGTGGAAAAGCGCCATAATAGTACTGACAGTAACTCGCGATTGAGCGGCACACTGATGTGAATCTGCTCTATAATATTGTTAGGAGCGGCCAGCCTCAGGGGCTCCAGTGCGTCATCAAGTAGGGGTGTGTCCAGGAGCTCAAGGGCTCCAGTGCGTCATCGAGCCCTGTTTTAGCCCCGCCCATAAAATCCGTAAAATAGCAATGGTAAAAAACTGTTTAACGGTCTAACTCCACAATTCAGTACTTCACAGTTCACAGTCTTTGTAATATGTTTTAGCAATACATTTCTAACATTTATAAAGTGTTTAGAATTTTTTTTTGAAATTGCCTTTACAGGGACTTTAAATGATAGAAAATTATATTGTGTTATGTGTAGGCCAGATTAAAGAGATGTGTTTTTAGTCTAGATTTAAACTGACAGTGTGTGTCTGCTTCCCGAACAATGCTAGGAAGACTGTTCCAGAGTTTTGCTGCTAAATAGGAAAAGGATCTACAGCCTGCAGTCGATTTTGATCAGTCGATTATCAACTGGCCAGAAATTTGAGATCGCAATAGATGTAAAGGACTACAATGTGTTAAGAGCTCACTCAAGTACTGCAACGGTAAAAAGCAACGGTCCTAGTACTGATCCCTACTTGATACTGAACTTGTGATCAGTAAGACATCTCTTCGTTTAATGCTACAAACTGATAACGATCAGAAAATTAGGAGTTGAACCATGCCAATGCAATTCCACTAATGCCAACATAATTTTCTATTCAAAAGATGGTGTGGTCGATAGTATTAAATGCAGCACTAAGATCCAGTAACACTAATAGAGAGATACAACCACTGTTACGAACCTCCAGTGGAACGTCCAGGGAGGGAGGAGGTTGGCAACAATAATAAAACCATTTCGGGTTGAAGGAACAAAGGATACCGATTTATCAACAAGTATGGCGTTTATTTACAACATTAAATAACCAAAAGGTACAACAGATACAAAAAGGTAAGTATCAAAAAGGTACAACAAAAAACAACTACAAACACTAGTATTTACCACCCTCTCTCCACCGAGAGAGTAAACCCCAGCACGAGGGTCAGACTTGTTACACACTACTGCACGGACTCCACTAACGCCACTGCAGTATCACCCAGCTCCGGTACGCTGTCTGTATAGAGACGTCTGTTCTCCACACACTCCTGTATCAGTCTGCCTGTTCTCTTCCCTTTGTAACAGCTCCCGCTCTCCTGCTGATTGCCAACAGGTGTGCACACTAGCTGATTGCCAATTGGAGACAGGTGTGCCCACAGGACCTGCAGAAGACAGACAAACAGCAGTACACCTGGGCAGACACACACACACACACACACACACACACACGTAACACTCCCCCCCATAAAATCAAACTAGGGGTTTGACTAAGGATAAGGTCACAATTCACTACCACGAGAAACAGAACAAAACAAAAAACACTCCCACCTAATCTCAGACATCTCCCATCCCCCCCAGCGGATGAATAAGGAAACTTCTCACCCGCGAGACAATGCGTCGGCTATCACGTTGTCAGCTCCTTTCTTATGACGGATCTCCAAGTTGTAACCCTGCACCAACAGAGCCCACCTCATCAGGCGTTGGTTGTGGTTATACATTTGGGACAAGAAAACCAAAGGGTTATGATCTGTAAATACAACAACTGGAGAGGGGTTATAACCAACATAGACTTCAAAATGCTGCAAAGCAAGCAGCATTGCGAGGGTTTCTTTCTCTATAGTGGAGTAATTGAGCTGGTGTTTCTTGAACTTGACAGAGAAGTAGCTAACCGGATGACAGACATCTCCTTCTCCATCCTGCAACAGCACAGCACCAGCGCCGGTGGCACTCGCGTCCACCTCGAGCTTAAAGGGAAGAGAAAGGTTTGGCGCAGCCAGGACAGGGGCACAACAGAGAACAGATTTCACTGCTTCAAAAGCATGTTGACATTCGTCCGTCCACAGAAACGGAACAGTGGGACTACACAAACTAGTCAGAGGGGCGACAACTACTGAGAAGTTTTTGCAAAAACACCTGTAATACCCAGTCATACCAAGGAAACGACGGAGCTCACGTCTAGTTGTAGGGGCTGGGTAGGTTAGTACAGCAGTAACCTTGGCGTCAACAGGGCAGACCTGGCCATAGCCCACCTGCTTACCCAAGTACGTCACGGTGGCCTTTCCAAACTCGCACTTCGCTAAGTTCAGTGTCAGTGACGCTGCCGCTAACCTCTGGAACACCTCGGCCAAAATTGACATGTGACTAGTCCAATCGTCTGTGTACACTACCACGTCATCTAGGTAGACATTACAATTTGGGACAGTCCCTAATACTATATGCATCATGCGCTGAAATGTTGCAGGCGCATTTCTCAGTCCAAAAGCCATAACCGTATACTGCATGAAGTGGTCAGGGGTAACAAATGCAGAGATATCAGATGCCCGAGGGGTTAATGGCACCTGCCAGTACCCCTTCAGCAGGTCTAACTTAGTGATGTATTCCGCGGGACCAATACTATCAATGCAGTCCTCCATCCTGGGCAAAGGGAACGAATCTGGGACTGTTACTGCGTTTACCTTACGAAAGTCTGTACAGAAACGTAGCGTACCGTCAGACTTAGGGGTAAGTAAACATGGGGAACTCCATGGGCTACAGCTGGGCCTGGCTAACCCATTGCGTATTAAGTAATCAACTTCATCTTTCATAATATCTCTCTTAGCCAGCGGACAACGATAGGCATGCTGCTTTATTGGGGCAGCTGTCCCAATGTTGATATCATGATGCAGTACAGTGGTCTGGGACGGCACATCGCTAAACAGAGAGAGATGAGAAGTTATTAACAACATAACATCATCACGTTGAGCTGGGGAGAGGTAGAATAAATGTGCCTCTAGGTCGGACAAGAGCTCCGAATTGGGCAACCTACCACCCTGGTGACCTTCACCGAGTCCTGCTAAACCATCGTCAGGCTCCGCCCCGTCACAAACCAAGGAAGCAATGGTGTTG